AGGGTCAAGAAAGCTATCCACATAATATTTCACCCAAATAACATCAACATTGATAGTGGAATTGAAATCCCTAAAGCATGGATGCCCACGATCAAAAAACACAGCAACAAGAGAACGGCACAACAGCGGACCGCTGAGGGAACAGCTACTCGCCGGAACAATGGAACAATGAGAGGATCGAAATGCACCAATCACAGCCGACCTTCGTGATATAAATGGTGCCGCGTAATCAGTCGACCTCATCCCCTAAAGAAGAATAGCAGTAAGCAGTCGAAATGTCACGATCTACATGTCAAGTGACTACATCGCGAGACAAACGATTATACACTTTATTATTGTATCTACCACGATGAACAACAACGAACTTTTCCTCTCCATGATCCTCAGCATCTCTGTCTACGGTTTCAACACTGACTTCTTCAGCATATCTGTTTTCACAATTTGACTCACAGGAACCGCACATGTCCGTACATTTCAAGCTGTGCTTTCTGCATGAANATATCACTTGGCTAAATTCTACACTAGCGACTAAAATATCAACTGTCAATGCTCAAGTATGCGCAAGCACCCTTAGCCAGTGTTTACCCCTTTCCCACACAATGGCACAGTCAAGATACTATTCTCCTCCTGGACATAGTCTATAAAACAAGATTCGTTTATCCAGACCAACACGCCCACGAGACCGACCACTATCCGATTTGGAACGAGGTCAAGTTTTATTGATCGAGATCCTCACTGGTACACACGTAGGGTCAAGGAAGCTATCCACATAATATTTCACCCAAATAACATCAACATTGATAGTGGAATTGAAATTCTTCAAGCATGGATGCCCACGATCAAAAAACACAACAACAAGAGAACGGTACAACAGCGGACTGCTGAGGGAACAGCTACTCGCTGGAACAATGGAACAATGAGAGGATCGAAATGCACCAATCACAGCCGACCTTCGTGATATCATGATGGTGCCACGTAATCAGTCGACCTCATCCCCTAAAGAAGAATAGCAGTAAGCAGTCGAAATGTCCCGATCTACATCTCATGTGACTACATCGTGAGACAAACGATTATACACTTTATTATTGCATCTACCTCGATGAACAACAACGAACTTTTCCTCGCCATGACCCTCCTCATCGCTGTCTACGGTTTGAACAGTGACTTCTTCAGCATTTCTGTTTTCACAATTTGACTCACAGGAACCGCATATGTCCGTACATTTCAAGCTGTGCTTTCTGCATGAACAGCTCAAAGTGGTGCAACTTCCTCTACAACCGC